CGTACTGGGATCGCAATTCTAAAATTATTGTTTTTCAATAAGCAAAAGGTCTCAACATGGGTTATGTAAGGGACCAGGTTAAAAAGACGAACATAGTTCATAGCACCTTTCTGTGCAGATGATTGCTGCATGGATTGAAGATAGTATATATTATGGTCTGTATATAATATATATATTATATTATGGTCGAGAAATCGCTGCTATCATAAATCATATTTGTGCAACTAAAAACGAGGATTACTTGTCCTATAGAGAAAATGTGCTGTTCAAGTATTTCGAATATTTTCGAAATATTCAAAATATATATTTGAATTCGAATACTCGAACTGCTTGACCATTGTAATACTCAAACACTATCAAGACCCAATCATTTCTGGAATTTATTTCATGTAACACGAAATCACATTGCACATACAAATATATGGAAAATAGAAATTTCGCTGACCTTACAACGCTGTTTCGAGGATTGCCAAGTACTCATCATCAGTGGTCATAGAAAATAATCGAATTTCGTAATTAGTATACAGTCCGTAAATAATTGGTTTGGACTGCAAGTGCCAGGCTTAAAACTTGTGCCTGTCAAATTAGAAGCGATGACTAATTGTATTTTTCTACAAGTTGCCAAGGCTTCAGTGGTCAAGTTCCAGGTTTTTTTGTCATTATTTTATTTAATTAGTGACGCTAACGAAATCAATTGCCGTGCTTTAAATTAGAACGAGCTTTTAAACTACAGCTTTATTTGGAAACACAAGTTAAACGAATAGAAAGTTAAGTTTTGAGGTAGCCTATTTTTATTTTTATTATTCGAAAATCTTTATATTAAAAAAAAATTTTCAATTTTTTTTTTAATCTTTTTCATTATAAGAAAGCGTAGCTTTATCGGCAAAACTAATCAAACTTTTAAATAATAAATATTTATTATATTCATTAATTCATTAAATAAATTTTTCTTCGTTTTATAAGAGAACAAAAATTTATATAAACAAACAGACATATAATATAAAGGTGTAAATAAATTATATACTATAAATATATATTATAATTATGTATTATAAATTATATTATAAATTATATTATAAAATATAATATAGCATGCTATATCATATATCGTACAATATATATTACATATATAACATATAGTATACACTAAAACAAAAATAATAAATTATATATATAAAACATGTTAATTACTTTTTACTCCTAAAACTTAAACATAATGTACTTTTCATAATTAAAATAACTACACTTCAATTTACATAATTATATTTAATAGTTAAATAATTTCTGTTAAAAAGTACCACACTTTTATCCTTTCAAACTCATAATGCACTTTATCAAAGGAGTTAGCACAAAAACGGAAATGAACCACTTATGTTTTCACCTTCGGTTGCAACTGTTACCCCATTTATCGATTTAAGCAGAAATACCAAAACAAACAAACGAGCAAAAAGGACATCTAAAGCAGTCATAAAACTTCTTAAATGAGTTAAATAACTGCAGTAGATGGGTTAAGGTAAATTGGCCGACATAGCCTTGATGGAGAC